ATGCAACTAGAGCAAGGGTAACACGAACCTGCATGTTGATATGATCTTTGATGATCATGATGTCACCGACTTTGAACTCCGGGTTGAGTCCGCCGGCGGCGTTGGTGATGATAACCTGTTCCACGCCCATCAGCTTCATCACTCGCACCGGCATGGCGCACTGGCCATCGAGAGAAGTTACAAGCTCATATTCCAAGGACAATATCCAGAAAATTACATGATGTTTCAGTTGGTATATAATAGAAAATATACAGACATCTAAACGATTAAATAAAGTGAGACACTAAAGTAACAAACTGACCTTCCACAGCGGGTAGCCCTCATAAGCGTGGAAGCGGCCCTGCATACACATGACAGGCACCCCGGAGAGTAGGCCGATCACCATCCTGCCTGCGTGTCCCTTGACTGTTGACACGGGGAAGTTGGGGATGTCTTCGTAGGGGAAAACATCTCGGTCGCCCAGCTGGTCAGCCAGTCCACCTGAAGCAGGAGATGACTGTTCATACACTGCTGATATTCCATTATCAGAATCGGTACTGCTCCTTACTGCTTGTTCCCTCTTCGCTTGTCGTACCCGTGATAATATTTTTGTAATTCCCTTTGCCATGCTGTTAACAATGACTTCTGAGTCCGTCATTCTCCTTACGGGTACTACTCCCATGACTGCTAGAAGTTCATTACTAAAGTCTTTGCTCATGTCAACTTACCCAAACCGGATCCACATATGACGCCAATCTTGGGTCTGTGTTTGGTCCCCGCCAGCAGGTAATTCGCACTTTCCTGGATCAGCTCGAACGGATATCTGAAACACACAAAAAGTTTCTGTGAGTGTTATACGAAGTAGTCGCAGGTTCTCGGACGTCTGCTGTATCCACGTCACTGGATACTATGGTATCGGTTACGTGTCAGGACGATCGCGTGTAGGGTGTGTGTATGTCTGGCTTGTGATAAACGCAATAGTATTTGTTTTCCTATTTTTTTCAGTAATTCAGTTTTTCATCTATACGTATATATATGAGTGAGTGTGTATGTGTATGCCTGCGAATGCACGGGTAGTTGTGTATATGTGGGATACGAATAATGATATGAATAATGTTGATCCCTCAGGCTACTAGTCTGAGGCATTTTTCCCTTGCAAGTTGCAGGTAATGTAATTGTGGTGAAGGAAGAGTTGTGATTGCATAACGCGTGTATGTCTATTTAATTGGCAATGACATTGTTTCATTTTTTCCATCAGACTTGTTTTATGTGGACCACATGTAAGGTAGGATAGACAAATATAAACGCAATACATACTTAAATTGAGCATACTTAAATTGAGGATGCATTCTATAATATGCAAGCTGTATACAGTTAACTGATTACGTACATTAATAACAATTTATGAGGAAAAATATATCAAAATAAATTATTAAGTATTATTAACTATACTTACGTCTTCCGGATGCAGCTGTTACATTTTGAACAAAAAACATGATGCATATAAAAAGAAAAACATTACACATGGATTACATAAGCACCTACAGGACCAGATACCGAACACTGGGAGATAAGGTTACTAGGGATAAGGTTACTAGGGATATGCCTAGCTCTACAGACAGGCTGAAAGATGATCATTATTTAAAGAAATTGGTACTATGCATTCATGATACATTTCTGTAAGTGAGAATGTGTGATAGTTGAGGCAATTATTAACAGGCACGGAGGACATTCGGTTACTGAGAAACGAAGCACAATGATACATTCAGATGCACATTGGTTCTCACAGACAAAGACATCTAGAAAAAAGAGACAAATAAAAAAAAAACGGTTATGGCGAGCACCTAAGAGGTTAAAGAATAACTTACGCAGTTTCATCTCCGGAGACTGTGAGCTCCAGGCACATAGACCCGCCTCCTGATGCATATGCCCGCAGGGTGCGCGGTTCTCCTTCGCTGTAAACGGGGCACAGGTTAGGTTAGTAGTAGGTCGGGAAGGGAGGGAAGAGAGGGAGAGGAGGGGCCGGGAGAGGCTGAAGGGCAGGGCGAGGAACAGTGGGCGTTCGTTTTCGCTTTTTTTTAGGGAAGGATAACAAAAGGTCATGTTAGTAAAAAATGGTTTTGTTGCTTCTTGAAATGCTTGGGTAATAGGGGACTCTGTGAGAACGATTAGGCAGTGACTCTTCGTTTATGATGGGTATGAAAAGATGGAAAAAGAGAGAGAGGAAAAAAAAACTAGATGAATGCAATGACATCTAGTTTTAGCTTACGAAGAGTATGAAAAGATGGAAAAAAAGGAGAGAGAAAAACTAGATGATTGCAATAACATCCTGAAATTACCATGTCGTAATGGAGGACTGTTTTTTTATGAGTTAACTTCATAATTATGACGTAGCTCTCCTGCCAAGTGCACGATGACCCTCCAGAATCAGCGCCCCCATTTCTCTCCATTCCTCTTTAAAAACAAACGTGAACCTGCGTAGATACAGCTTAATACGATCACTTATCCGGCGACATTGAAATACGCTGTGTATCACGGTTTCGTCAATTATACAAAGCAGTTCACTGAGCTAAATTAATCTCTTCTACGCGACGTTTGCCTCGCTACAAATATGATGAGTTTGAGTTTCGCGTGCTGAGTGGCTCGACCCGGCTGCGTCCTCCTCTGCGCGACGGCCGGTTGTGCAAGCGGGCTAATGCAAAAGACTAGACACTCATCCTTGGGAGATTCTTTCTCTTCTTTCCATCACACGCCTTCTCTTTGTCAGACTTCTGTCTCTCTCTTTATCTGCATACCGGCGCACACAAATAGACACACATACGCGCAAACACACACACGCGCACACACACACACGCACACACACACACACACACACACACACACACACACACACACACACACACACACACACACACACACACACACACACACACACATATATATATATATATATATATATATATATATATATATATATATATGTGTGTGTGTGTGTGTGTGTGTGTGTATACATATATCCGTGTGTGTGTGTGTGTCTGTATTCATTATTATCATTATCATTATTATTATCATTATTAATAATAGTATTAGTATTAGTATTAGTATTAGTATTCTCAGTCACAATTTCCATAACAGGTGTGGAGATAAATTCTAATTTTAGAAAGTTACGCTTCAAAGCACTTTACAAATTCGGTCAGGAACTGCGCAGGCGGTACTTGGAGGGTGTGGCTCTATGTCGACCAATCAGCGAACATTACTAGCGCGCTCTTCCGCGTGATTGGCTAGACACGGGGGAAGGGCAAGCAGGAAACTTAAACTTACTCTCTTCAGTTTTCTTCGTATAATCTATCAAAACAAGGATATTTAGAATATTCTAATCTGTTACACCCAAATTAGAGTTTCCAAGGTAAACAAGCTTACACTACAGACAACATATTGTTATGACACGTTGCGCTTGTATTGTTTTCTTTGATTCATTTTCGCTCCGTCAGCATTCCTAAACGCAGAAAACTGAACCACAGGAACCGCAATTAAAAGACACTCCGGACACAAGTCTTACCGGGGGATCGCAGGTGAAAAGCAAGCTGTACCCAGTGCCCTTAAACGCGGCCATCGTCAGGCGTCCCCGGAGGGCGAAGGATAGGTTACAGTGACAAAGGTGTTAACGCGTGGGAAGCGGAAGTCAGTAAGGACTAAGTAAGAAAAAGATATTAAATAAAGTTGGTGTTTACTACAAAGAAAAGGGAATAATACAGGATACGAATAATACAAGTTCGTCGCGAAAGGAGGGAGCTAAACATTGTTGTTTTTACGTCATGTTTAAAGATTAATTAAAGGAAGAAAACAACAAGTAAGCAACAGGACTCAGGTCACATTCTAACCCAAATCTGTTGTTTGTGTATGCTTCACGAGGCTGATAATACTACTACTAATAATACATTTTCCGGAAAAAAGGTTTAAATAGAAAGTTAAGTGGAGTACGTATATTTTATCCTAAAACCTTATCTGTTACCTTATCTTTACTTATACTGCTGCGTAAATATCATCTGATTTATCTATTTTTACTATACTTTTGCCAAAGGGCACCTAGTAAAATAAAAGAATATTTGTTCCTAAACTTTTCTTCAAGAATGGAGCCGAAGTTCAACTAATCCTTTCGCCGCCTCCCCGCCCGTTCGAATCTACATTTGCGGCTGAAGGCATAGAACATGAAACTTCCCAGGATATTCAAATACAAATTAAACAAGGCAAATTAATCAGACAGAAGGTAAACTGAAATAAAATAAATAAAAAGAAATTCATGTAGACTTTATATAAATTTAGAGCTTTGCGGCACCCCTAGGGACAATGACAGAAGAAATCAAGGCTTCTGTTACAACTACAGCTTCCAAGATATATATTTTATCTTGTTAAAGCCTACGACATCCACGGTATTTTTATAAAGGATAATACAAAAGAAATTCATTGACTTCGACTAGTTTTCTACTAGAGTGACCTCCAATGGACCTTGAGTGCCGTTGAAGCGGCGCCGGCGGGGCCGCCAAATCAACACAGATTGCATTAAGTGATAAAGGAGCGCGGCCGCAGCAGCGTGCCTACGAGGCATCGCAGACTCGCCACTTGAAAGAGACTTTTCATAAAATCGCAGTCGCTCACACATTCGGCGTCGCCCGATGGCTGCAGAAACTTGAGTAACGTGGTTGGTGGAGCCGGAGGTGTGGCGGCCGTGCAGGGCGCCATGTTTCTGATCTGGCAAGAAGTGGTCGTTAGCCTTGCATATCTCCTGCATTTTCAGGCTGACTGGCGTCTTGAACAACGCCTATAATTGCTTTGCAAGGACAAGGGGAAGCAATAATTGCTTCAACAAGCAAAGAACCTTTAGGCAGATCATTCTGCATGACCAAACTTCCCGTGTCAAGCGATGCAGTTACTTTCTGCGCAAAGAAATGGCACTTATTAACAAACACAGTGCAAAACGGTAACCGCAAATTCAGGTCTACATCATCCACCTTAACCATACTGATAAAAATAAAACATATGGACCTTCAGGGAAGCAACCGGCAAAACAGCATAATACTACGCAGTTCACGACTCCAGGAAGTGCCGTGATCCTGAGGGAAGAGGAAGGTCGGTCTCTCGGAAAAGAGGGCAATAGGGGCCCTCCCCTCGCGTGGGAGAACCTCGCCTGCTCTGATGGGCGGCGGCTCGCAGTGAGAGCAGTTCATCTAAAAGCCGTAGGGACGATATGTTTAATATGCTGACATACAAGTTCTCACTGCTAAATAGGAGTAAGAATTTGTATGTTAGAAGAGTAGTGACAACAGTACTCTTAAAGTGATGTCGATTTACTTGTAGTGCTCCTAAAAACATAAAATGATAATGATATCAAATAACTTACTACAACGAAAAATCTTTTTCCCAAACGCCATACACTAAACCCTATAATTCCCCCGTTCTCAGTCGCGGCGACGCGCCCCCCTAGAACACAAAAACATAAACAGCATATCCATCTTTATCATTGTTTTTTAATTGACATCTCCTCAGTGAAGAAATGCCTTATCTTGTGGCCGATGAGCGATAGAGAAACCCAATTGCCGATATCAGATCTTTTCTTGAGAGATACCACAATCTTTTGTCACCACGAAGGTTAAAAAGACCTCATGTCTCCTTGGGTAGCTAGGGTCGTGAGCGTCTCTTGCTTGACGACAAACGATCTACGACTCGTCACTGGTCGTCGTGAACCGAGAAAGACCCTTTTCAGCAGTCGTCATTCAGGGAGGTGAGATGGCGGTAGAAGAAAAAAGAAAACAATGAGGATGAAGAAAAAGCAGAGGAAGATGGCGCGGAAGATATCTCCAGAGAAAGTTTAGCGGGTTGTAGTTGTTGCTTCTTGTTTATCTCAAGCAGAGCCACTGCTGAAGTCTCGCTTCAACATTTCGGATCTTAAGGCTACCGCTCCTGATAACAATGATCAAAATGCATTCAGCAGGAAACATGTAAAAGAAAACGATTGAAGGTTTGGAAATTCCTGCGGTCGCAGCGAGGACGATCTCGCTCAAAAGGAACCTGGTAACTCTTCAAGGCCAGACCTTCAGAACACCAGCCCTTTCTTGAGATGCCTTTCAAATCTCCCGCTTAAGGAATATGAAAATCCGCCGCTACAGAAAAATCAGTTTTGCGTAAAATAGCATTGGGTAGGAGATGCCACCCTACAGTAGTCGAGTCGCGCGCTCACAGCAGTATATGATCGACTACTTCCCGTTACTCAGGGGAGGGACACGCTTGTCCGGCCGTCCTCATTCATATCGCAACTAAATAGATAGGAAAATAGATAGATAGATATATGGATATATCTACCTGATTAGGTTGATATAAAATTAGGTAGGTAGAGAGATAGATGGATAGCTATAAATATAACCATATATAAAGATAGACAGAATAAATAGCGCGCCTATGCACATGCATTATACGTAAAACATATCCAGCACAGACTGCGTCGTAAAAAAAATCTTGAGCGTTTTTAAGTAACGATCCAGTTTTGTCTATAAATAATTGCGCAAGGTGGCTCAGCTCAACACACTGACAAAAAGGTTTGTGATAACGCTGAGAGGCGACCGATAGTGCATGCTAAAAGACCATACGAATGTGAAAATAAGTCGCTGGAAAAGAGTATGTCAGAAGTTAAGGTCAACCAACTTCAAGTTCCGTTCGGTCAGCCGGCCTCGGTTGCACGGAGGCGCGTGAGACGTTGACTGTCTGGCTCGTTATTGGGAAACGCCATCGTAGTAAATTGTCTACATACATGCATGCTTACACATACACACATACATACACACGCACGCACGGACACACACACACACGCACACGCACACGCACACGCGCGCACACACACACACACACACACACACACACACACACACACACACACACACACACACACACACACACACACACA